ATTATGTTCTTGATGTCAACCAACAATTCTTCTGGTCTTTGGTCATTATTGTCTTATGCATCAAATCTGTTCTTGAGATGATCTCTAAGTATTACAATTTGAAACACTAAGAACTGCATGAAAATATTGTCAGATATAGTGCCAGAAGATGAACCCTTCAGATTGGAAGGCACAGAAAATATGACTGGGAATAACTGCCGCTTAAAATAGAGGTGACCATGATGATTTGAATAAAGTAAGCTTTCAGAACTTCATTTACTGACAGGGCAGAACTCAAAATTAAGAACAAAGCTGTAAAATGATCAGAAGATTGAATATTACTCTAGGAAAATTGGAAATTGTCAAAGATGAATTGACATAAAGATTAATATCCTAGGATGTAGTGAATTGAAAATAGATTGGTATTGGCCATTTTGAATCTGACAATATGTTTTATTATGCCTGGATGACAAAATGAAGAGGAATAGAATCCCATTCATCATCAAAAATAACATCGCAGGATCTGTCTTGAAATATAATGCTTTCTGCGATTGGATAATATCCATATGCCTACAAGAAGACCACTTAATACCTTGATTCAAACATATGCATTACTAATGCCAGTGATGATAAATTTGAAGAATTCTGCCTTTTTCAGTTTGAAATTTATCAAACATGCAATCAAGATGTACTGATATTTACTAGTGATTGGAATGCAGAGGTTGGAAACAAAGAGGAAGGATCAGTTGTTGGATACTATGGCCTGGGTGATGCAAACTATGCTAGAGATCCCATCTTAGATTCTTGCAGGACTAATGACTTATTCACTTCACACACCTTTTTTTTAACAAAGTAAAAGACAGCTTTTATTCACATGAACCTCACCAGATGGAATACACAGAAATCAAATTGACTACATCTATGAGAAGTTGTTGTTGTTGTTGTTGTTGTTGTTGTTGTTGCTAGGTGCCATCAACTTGGTACCAACCCATAGTGACTTTATGCAAGATCAGGCTGATGCTAAAGAAAATTAAAACAAGTTCATGAAAGCCAAAATCTGATGAAAATATCACGTCAGTTTACAGATCATCTCAAGAATAGATTTGATGCATTCGACACTACTGACCAAAGACCAGAAAAGTTGTGGGATGACATCAAGAACATAATGTTGGATAAAGTAAAAGGACATTAAGAAGACAAGAAAGAAGGAAAATATAAAAATAGATGTCAGAAAAGACTTTGAAACCTTCTCTCCAGTGTATAGGTGTCAAAGCAAATGTAAGAAATGAGGAGGTAAAAGAGCTGAATAGAAAATTTCAAAGGGAAATTTGAGAAGAAAAATGTAAATATTATAATGAAATGTGCCAAGACCTTGAGTTAGAAAACTAGAAGGGAAGAACATGTTTAGCATTTCTCAAGCTAAAAGAACTGAAGAAAAAATTCAACTTGATTTGTAATACTGAAGAATTATATGGGGAAAATATTGGATGATGTAGAAAATTCAAAAGAAGATGGACAAGTTACACAGAGTCACCATTCCAAAAATAAATGATTGATCTACAGATTCAAGAGGAAGCAAATGACAAAGAGTCAATGTTACTGAAGGAAGAAATCCATGGTGCACTGAAGGCATCAGTGAAGAACGAAGCTCTGGAAATTTATGGAATACAAGTTGAAGTCTTTCAAGTAAGTGTAGTAGCACTGAAGGTACTCACTCATCAATGCTAAGAAATTTGGAAGAGAGATACTTGGCCAACTGATTTTAAAGAATGTATAATTGTGCCCATTCCAAAGAGAGGTGACCCAATGGAATGTGTGAACTGTCAGAGCATATCATCAATATCATATGCAAGTATAATATTGTTAAAGATAAGTTAAAAATTGCTGCAACAGTACACTGACAGGTAACTACAGAGGTTCAAGTCAGAAGAGGACATGGAATGTGGGGTATCATTGCTGATGTCATTTGAATCTTGGCTGAAAGCAGAGAATATCAGAAAGATGTTTACCTGTTCTTTATTGACTATGCAAAGGCTTTCAATTGTGTGGATCATAATATGCTATGGACCACACTTCTGAGAATGAAAATTACTCAAAAATTAATTGTGCTCCTGAGGAACCTGTACATAGACCAAGGAGTAGTCATTCAGACAAAACAAGGGGACGCTGAATGGTTTAAAATCAAGAAAAGTGTGCATGTTTAAAATCAAAAAAAGTGTGCCACACTTATTCAATCTGTATTCTGGGCAAATAATCTGAGAAGATGGATTATCTGAAGAATATGGTATCAGGATTGGAGGAAGATTCATTAATAACATGTGATATACAGATGATACAACTTTGCTTGCTGAAAGCAAAGAGGAGATAAAGTACTTACTGATGAAGATCAAAGACCACAGCCTTTGGTATGTGTTGCCCCTCAATGTAAAGAAAACAAAAATCCTCACCGCTGGATCAGAAAAGAACATCATGATAAATGGAGAAAACGTTGAAGTTGTCAAAGACTTCATTTTGCTTGGATCCACCATCAACACTCATGGCAGCAGCAGTCAAGCAATCAAAGGACATATTGCATTAGGCATATCTGCTGCAAAAGGCCTCTTTAGAGTGATCAAGAATAAAGATGTCAGTTTGAGGACTAGGGTGCACCTGACACAAGCCATGGTATTTTCAATAGCCTCATAAACATGTGAAAGTTGGACAACGAATAAGGAATACCATAGAAAAACTGATAAATTTAAGTTATGGTGTTTAAGAAGAATATTATAAGTACCATGGGCTGTCAGAAGAACAAACAAATCTGTGTTGGAAGAAATACTACCAGAATGCTCCTTAGAAGGTAGTTTCACATTTCAGAAATATTATCAGGTGGTACCAGTCCCTGGAGAAGGGCATCATGTTTGGTAAAGTGGAGGTTCAACAGAAAGGTGGAAGGCCCCCAACAAGATGGATTGACACAATAGCAGCAGAGTGGGCTCAAACAAAACAAAAATTGTTAACATGGCTCAGGAACAGGTAGTGTTTCGTTGTGTTCTCACTATGAGTTGGAACTGACTCGAGGACACCTAACATCAAGAACAGAATTTTGGGGACTAATGTCTTTACCTAGCTATGCTAAAGGGAACATAAGAAAAATTCTGCTTTACTCCTATTAGAATTTGTTTGTGATAGCATATCAATAATTCTTTCAGGAATTGACATGATCGATCAGCAGAGCACCATGTACACTAGATCACATTCAGGAGAATAATGTTAAGGTTCTTCCTTCAGAATATTTGAATTGTTGTACATTTTACCTAAACTATGAATTATTTAGGTGAGGCACTGTAAGATAAAACACTGGACCACAAGATTTGTTTGAAAAAGTTTAGTGGTTCAAACTTACCAGCGGCTCCTTGGAAACCCTATCCAGGATTTCTATGAATCACATCTGACTTGACAGCACTTAATTACAGCAACACTAGCTGTTATAATTGCCTAGTTTCAAGTCTTGGTTCTCCTTCTCAGCTTCTTCTATCTGTGTATGGAAACATGATTACGTACTCTTTAACCTGCCTTTTTACTGCTTTTTAATATCCTGTTAATGTCATTGTATGTAAGGAAACAAAACTTCTTTTTTATCCTCCAATGTGGATGGGAGGCCACTTTCTTGCTTTTATGCTTTTCCTTTTCTTGCTTACTGTCCTTGGGCTATAAAGTTACCAAAATACAAGTCAATGTGAATTTAGAAATTAAAGATTCTGTCATTGTAGTACTGTCTTTAGGTAGTGGTGGTGATGGGGTAGGTTTGAGGTGGGGTTTATATAGATGAACCAAAGAAGGAACTGAGGAGACCTTTCCCAGGAGCGAATGATCTCACTACCATCAAGGAGGAAGAGTAAGGAGTGGAGTGCCTCCTTTGGAACCCAGGGTCCCTGCACATTGAAACTCCTTGATCTAAGGATAGAAAGATGTAACATGATAGAAGTAGCAGAGGCGTGGTAGAGCAGCAACAGTTGCTGAATAGCCAAGAGCCATAGCAGGAGGCAGAGTGGTGGACTTCTTGGCCCATAGAACAAGCAAAGCTGAGTGTCTTTGGGTAAGAGGTTCACTTTTAGGATGGGATACCTTCAGGCACTTATTTGGGGAGCTAGGTTTTTCATTACTTTCTTTCTACAGACTTAAATTTAACCCATCTCTAATGATCAGGTTTTTTGACCCTCTGTTTTTAACACTTCTGCAAACAGGCATCAAAAGTTTGTGGGAACGTGGAATTAAAGATAACAAAAAATTTCCACAAACTTTTGAAGTCTCCTTGTATTTCTTTCTTGGAATTTGTTGACTGAATGAGTGCATGATGTGAAATCAGAGCTTGGAAAGGCAACGTAATGAATGGTCTTCATATTTCAACACTTCTCAAAAATCATGTTTGTAAAGAAGACTGTTTTGGGCAGGTGATAATAAAATCCACTATCATGTTACATTTGAGGCAGTGAGATAGAGATGTCTTATGGGGTATATAAAAGCTGCATTGATGTTCCTCTGACCTCCTCTAACTTCACAAGGGGGAAGAATCAAACTCATGATCCTCTTATGTTTGAACAGAATCCTCTAAGGAAGCACTCATATTTAACCACACATAAACACACACACACACACACACACACCTGATGTATCCCTTATCTTCTGTGATGTATAAGGCATGATTAGATCTTTTCATCTAGTCTAACTACTAAAGGTGCAATATTTTCTCTGTTTTTCTGTTTGTTTTCTATACCAAGAAAGCAATCACATCTTTAAAATTATGATATTATATTAAGAATGGTTCAGATCTGCTTTTTTTCCTGGTCAGTTGTTAAAATATGAAAGCATCTACAGAATTCTAAGAACAAGCTTAATCCAAAAACAATTACCCAGATGCCTTTTTAGGCATTCGAAGAAACTTCTTGGGGTTGTCGTACAGCTTTGCTTCTACTGCTCCTTTTATACTCTTTTCCTACTTCCACAAAAGGATGATTGGTGGGACATTAGTAATAACTTACATTTCTTTCCTACTTTCCAGGACAATTTCTTTAAAGCCTTTCAAGCATTCTGAAATATCTAGCAAGATTTCATAATGCAAATCAGTCCCCATCCTCTGCATGGAAATATTTTATATGCTGTAATTTTGTGTTTTTAATTTATACAGAACATCAAGAGGAAATTTGAAGCAACAGCTATTCAAATACGTGGAGAGTTTTCTCATTTGTTTCTAAAATAGATGAGGAAATGCATTTCTTGAAGTTCTAAAATTGTTGCCTACTGCAGAGGAAAGGGAATGCTGTACTTGAGGTAAACTCCAGTCATCCGTTTTCTTTGCTGTGTGATACTGGTTTCATCTTTCTGAGTACTAATATTCATATCTATAAAAGCAAAAAGTTACTAGACAGGAAAAAATATTATGAAAACTGAATAAGATGGTATATGACAAGGATCTATTACTGAGTCTGACAGTCCATATAGCAAAAGTTCTTCCCCATTAACAAATGACAAAGCCTCACACTCAGTCTTACAGGAGTTTCACCCAAAACCATGATGAATGCTGGGGGTCAGGAAGAAGCATCAATTTTATGCTTGTCTGGTCTTCATCACTATCTCTAAGCTTTCGATTCTTTTCTGGAAACTGTCCACATCACCCAAACACTGTTGTCATAACTTTTCAAATCAAGTAATTCCTCAAGAATCAAGTCAAGCTTTCCTTCCACCAGGAGCTCTTCCTCAACCTTCCCATTCCACTTTGGATCCCCATTGCTACAAACTTTGACAGCACTTTTACAGACTAGACCATATAATTCATCACCTAGGGATTTGCATTCTCATATTCTGACAGAACATCATATATATATCCCTGTTACCTCAAATTTCATTCTCTAAGAGCAAAACCTATTTCTTACATATCTTCTAGATTCATTATTTAGTACTGTACCTATTGTACAGTTGTTGTTAAATTCCATTGAGTTGGTTCTAATCCATAGCAACCCTTCCCAAGAGTGGCTGGTGAACTTGAACCACAGACCTTGCAGTGCAAACAGCCCTTGCAGTCCAGCACATTAACACATAGCACCACACCAGGAGTCCAGTTGTTGTTGTGAAGTGCCATTGAGTCAGTTCCGACCCATAGTGACCCTGTATAGGGTTTCCAAGGAGCAGCTGATGAGCTTGAACTGTCAACCTTGCAGTTCAACTGGCTTGGCAGTCTGGTGCATTAACCCACAGCGCCACACCAGGACTCCAGGAGTCCAGTAGGTACTCAATAAATCTCAACTGTGCATGCATCATGAAGGCTATTAATCTATAGAGTTAAAACTCTGATTGAATATGTGTGGATTTCAATCACTTGTGGTTAACTGACAACAAGTCTATTCCAAAGCATGTTATTGTTGTTGTTAAGTGCTTCCAACTCAATTCTAACTCAGCCATCCTGTGTAGGGTTTCTGAAGAGCAGTTGATGGGTGTGAACTGCAGACCTTCTGGGTCTTAGTCCAGTGGTGATCCTACAAGTGCCCCATCAGAAGTCTATCCCAATGCAAAATGACCCTCAAGTAAGCAGAGTAAAACTGTTCCATAGAATTCTCAAGGGTCTTGTGATCTTTAGAAAGCAAATTAACTGTCCAATGTATCTTCTGAGGTTAGCCAACCTTTCTGTTAAGAGTCTTTTGCTTAGCCATTTGCACCACTCAGGAACTCCTTTATAATCATCACACACACAAAAAAGAAAATTTGTTTATCTTTTAAGAAATGCTCTTTTCTTCCCTAATAAAATTGCATTTTAAATTTCATATGTAAACTTTAAGGTTAAGTATTTTTCTCTTTAACAAAGAACTCCTTGTGTGTGTTGTTAAGGTCTGTCAAGTCGGTTCTGACCCCTAAGCTTGAATGCCAAACTTGCAGTTCAAATTGACTTTGAAGTCCAAAGCATTTACCCACAGAGCCAGGACTCTAATTAAGGATGTGCGTGAATGGATGAGGGAGATTCCCACTGTTCCTACCTTTTACCAGTGAAAGAACTTAGTTCCAGGCAATTTGGTAAAGAGTAGAAGAAAGAGATGATCAGTATTTTTAGAAAGCGAATTACTAACAATATCTACAGATATTTGTGCTTTTAACTAAAGTGTACCTTCGAACACCATCACGGGTTCTCTTAGATTTTCTACTATATGGTATAGTTCTTGCTGTTAAGGGCCATGGAATCGGTTCCCTGTTTAGGATTTCTAAGGAGTGGCCGGTGAATTTGAACCACCGACCCTGTGGTGCAAATCAACCTTCTAGTCCAGTGCATTACCCCACAGTGCCACACCAGGACTGCATGTCATTTTAGTCAGTTTTCTGAAAACTCATTTGTTCAAGACAAATAAGGGGTCATTTCAAAATTGAAAGATACATAATAGGGCATTTTTGCTAGGCAAGAGCTTGAGACTTAGACACTGTAGCTGCTTGGGGTTCTGTATCATCCCTCCTCCTCAATAAATACTAGCTTGCAGAGATTGGATGCTATTAGGTAGAATTGGAAAGGAGCCTGTCCACTTCTCATCACTCCCATATCTTATATTCTGTCCCAAGTAATTGAGGTAGATTATCATTTTAAGGTGCAAAAGAATCAGTACTTCATTTGTAGGATGTTCTAGTTATCTAATTTGTATTATGTTATTTGTGAGGAAGAACCCCCGCAAGATGTATTGGCAAAGTGGCAGCATCAATGGGCAACAACTGTGAGGCTGGCCCAGGACTTGTCAGTGTTTCGTTCTGTTGTGCACAGGGTCACTATGAATTGGTACCGACTCGACAGCACCTAACACCAACATTTGTAAATTAGTAGTTGTGTTTGATAATCTTAAAAAAAAATAATGACTGAGTTTGTTCCTGTACTTTCTTCCAATAACTTTATAATTTTAGATGAAATATTTAGGTTGTTGATCCATTTTGACTTAGTTTTTATAGATAGAGTGAGTTATAGGTTCTGCTACATTTTTCTGCAAGTAGCTATCCAACTTTGGTAGTGCCTTTTATTGAAAAGACTGCTTCTTCATGGAATGTCCTTTGAAATTTTGTCAAAATCCAGGTTGTCCATGGATAGGTGGATTTATTTGTAGTTTCTCAATTCTATTACACTTGTTTTTGTGTCTGTCATTGAACTTGTACCAAGTCATTTTGACTGCTATAAGTGTATAGTATGTTGGGAAGTCCTGGTATGATGCTGTAAGGTAAAGTATGGCACCAAAAGGTCAGTTTGAACCACAAGGTCAGAGGTTCAAACTCATCAGGCACTTCTTAGAAACACTATACATCATCTCTATGAGTCGGAAATGGACTTGATGGCACTTAACAACAACAACATGAGATTCAGCATTGTGATATGACTTATTTTGTTCTTCAGTACTGCTTGTTGTTGTTGTCAGGTGCCATCGAGTCGGAACCAACTCATAGTGACCCCATGCACAGCAGAGTGAAACAATGTCCGATCCTGGGCCAACCTCACCACCACTGCCACACTTGACACCATCAATGATGCCACCTGGCTGATCCATCTTATTGGGGGTATTCCTCTTTTTCTCTGACCCTCCATCTTACCCAACATGACATCCTTCTCCAGTGACTGTTCTCTCCTGACAATATGTCCAAAGTATGAGAGACGAAGCTTAGCCATCCTGGCCTCCAAGGAGCACTCTGGCTGCACTTCTTCCAAAATAGATCTATTGGTTCTTTTGGCAGTCCATGGCACTTTTAGTATTCTCCTCAACTCAAAGGCATCAATTCTTCTATAGTCTTCCTTTTTCACTGTCCAGCTTTCGCATCCATATGAGGTTATTGAAAATACCATGGCTTGGGTCAGGCGCACCTTAGTCCTCAAGCTGACATCTCTGCTCTTCAACACTTTAAATCCTGTGCAGCAGATTTGCCCAATGCAATATGTCGTCTGATTTCTTGACGGCTGCTTCCACGAGTGTTGATAGTTGATCCAAGAAGAATGAAGTCCTTGACAACTTCAATCTTAGACTACTTTAAACCAATTTCGTTTCATATAAAGTTGGTGATTAGTTTTTCCATTTTAGTGAAGAATGTTGGAATTTGGATCAGTATTATATTACTATTTATAGGTCACTTTGGACAATATTGACATTTTCACAATATTAAGTTTCCAGTCCATGAGCACAGTATGTCCTTCCAATTGTTAATTCCCTTTCAGTCTCTTGTATTCATGTTTTATAACTTTTTTTTTTTAATCTTTTTGTATAAGGTTTCTACGTCCCTCATTAGGTTTGTTCCTATACATTTTTTAACATATAGGGGCTAAGGTAAATAGTATCATTTTCTTGATTTACTTTTTGGACTTCTCCTTTTAGTGTAAAGGATGCTCAAGTGATTTTTATGTGTTGATTGTATACCCTGAAATATTACTAAAAACAAGATATATATTTAAATTTATCCTGAATTAGCAACATTTTTTCTGCCACTGTCCTTAGTATAGACAATAAATATAATGACAAATAAAGCCTTGAATGACAGCTTTTGCCTATTATTGTGACAACTTTTGATTTGAAGGTGACAATGTGACCAATGTCACTGAACACTGAGTTAGGAACAGGTGTGTACTAACACACCATTGTATAGTGTTTCCACTATAGAAATACAATAGACCAAATAAATATACAATTATGGAATAGCAAAATGTAGTATAATAGTTAGGAATTGATGAATTTTGAGTATTTTTATTTCTTTAAATATAATTTATTAAATTTCAAATTTATATAGGTTTTTAATCATACCTGAGCTTAATAGTTAGTTCACAATTTTCCTGAAATTTTACAGTTGGCATTCACGAACCAGCATGAGTCATGTTCAGTTCACCATTAGTTGCAATCCTTGTATTTTAAATTAATTTATTATACTAAACCTCTATCAAAGTATGACTTGAAGAGAGAACATATCTAAAGGAGCCTTCTTTTCTTGAAGTAATTAGGTGGAAGTTTGTATCTGCCCCAGGGGGTCGTGTAAACCTTGACAGGTCAGGTCTCTGCATTGCAGTATTTAAGATGCACCTTCTCCTAGAGGATGGACAATCAGTGACCAATAACAGTATTCTAATTATGCGAAGTTTGTTACTTCAACACTTAACATAAATCTAAAAATAAGAAAAAATGTTCCTTTTCAGAAATGACCACTCAGAAAATCATCAAGAAGATGTATTTTTATTTATTGTAGACTATGTTTCATTAGGAATCTCAGGATGTTATAAATGGTTAACATGTTGAACTGCTGAGTAAAAGGTTCTAGTATACTTGCAGTTGTCTCAGAAGAAAGGCCTGGTGATCTGCTTTCAAAAAATCATCCATTGAAAACCCTATTGAACTCTATGCCATACATAGGGTCACCATGAGTTGGGACTGACACTGTGTCAATTGGCTTAAACTAGCAGATTTCATTAAATCAATAGATGAATAAAGCATCCCTTTATGGCTGCTTTAATGTAAGCCATGTATATTTCTCAGACATAAACTTTATATGTGATGTGAACTTATTATGCAATGGGTTATACATGATAAAATGAAAAATGCTAATCTTTAATAAATCTTGATATGGCATAAATATTTCATACAAGGTAAACTGAAGACTGAGGCATAAAAATTAGATAGGAATTCTGCTCTCCTTTCAAATCAGCAATTAGACTTAGTTTATCATATTGTTTTTGTTAGGTGCTATCAAGTTGGTTCTAACTCATAGCAACCTAGTATAGGGTTTACAATGAGCGGCTGGTGGGTTGGAACCACGAACCTTGTGCTTCAAACCGACTAACAAAATGAAAGTGGTAATATTACAATTCTGGATCAACTCTCAGAAATTCAATAGTACACATTGAAATGTTTTTGTCAAAATCTAATTCTTTTGTTTACCAAGCAGCAGAGCTAAAGGTTAGGCCTTAAGAAATAAGCAACTTTTCTAACTACATTGATTTACCGGTTGGCAGCATACTAAGTGAAAAACAAGCTATATCTAATTACAAAGATGAGAAGACACGCTTGGAGTTTTCTGATTCTTTTCTTGACAAAAGAGGAGCTCGATGAATGTACACCTTTTTTTTTTTTTTTTTAATGTAGACCTTTTGATTCACTCTCTGTTAAAAAGGGAGAAAATAAGTTTGATTTACTATAAATCATAAAATACTACTAAAAATCATAAAACTTCATTGAATTTAAATAATACTAACAACCCTAGTTAGAGTTATTATCATTAACTTTATTTTACAGGTGAGAAAACTAATTCAATAACTTGACTTATATCTTCACAGCTACTTACTGGCAGAACTAAGGCTAAAATTGGCGTTCCCAGAGTCCAAATCTAGTTTTCTTTCCACAGTACCAAACTGACTATTCTGCCTAGTAATTGGGCCAAAGACATAGCTATATCCACCTATCATTCTAAGCCACCAAAGAGTTAAACAATTATTTTCTGAGATGCGATGCTTCTGACCTCTGTGACAACTAAGAGGATGAGCAAAACTTCCAGAAAATCCAACAGAGTAGATGCATGCTGCAGTTCAGGCAGTGTGTCCTAAAAGGTGCTTTGTAAATGATTGAGCCATGGTCCCTAACTCATGACTTTGTTGGTTCTTTCCTGAGGAGGCAACAACTGCTAGTATGTGAGTCAATTATTCTCTTTGTAATAATTCTCTGCAGGTTCCATTCTAGACCATATTCAGAAAAGGAGACTGAGTATAGCTCCTTCTAGTAATTTATCCTGAGTTTTTCTTTACCTACCACTTCTTTTCTTCATCTTTAGATTTACAGATAATTTCTCACTGAAATAAATCCCATAATCAGAGGAATTGGTTGTCCTAGTTCAACACATAAGATTGCATAAAATATAAGAATGCTATGTGAATATGGCTTTTTTAGGCACTTTAAAAGGGATCTGGTCATCAAATCTTATGCCACAATGTGATCTTATGGATTTTATGATTGCCTTGCATGTTTTAGCTACCAGCTCTTATCCAGGGATGAAAGTTTCTCATCAGTTGGGGTTTTAAAGACAAAGTTTCAGTAATAATTTAGTAAACTTCATATGTAGCAATTTTCTTACTACCTAGCAAGAATTTATATACTTTTCAGCAGGGTTTAGCTATCTTAATCTTTTTTCATTAGTAAATGTACATACAACACAGAGTGACATAAAACATAATTTTTATACCCCAAATTCCATCATTTTGAAACTATAGCACATGTGATAGTATTAGTTTCTTATAGAGATAATTAGCACATCTTTAGTAAATAAGAGATAAAAGTGAGAAATATTTGAGAAATAAAATAAATAACTTACATGACTTGGTTTTCAGCATCTCCCACACAATCAGTTCTGGATTTCAACTTGCAGGTCATGGCCTCACAGCAAGAATTGGTACATTCCTTACAAACACACATACAATGATAAAAGTGAGCTAAACATTGCTCTTCCCACAGACCTGACTCAAGAAATTCTGGTACAGTACAACAATGATGCTCCACTTTTTAGATTATTTTACTATGCAAATTCCAGTGGAAATGACCAAGGAAATGCAAGGATAAGGAAAAATAATGTAATAAATAATGACAATTCACTTTTAAGAGACCAGAATATGTATTGTTAATGAATTATTCCAAATACATTTTATTCAGATGATATTATTAATAAATTCATTCACACTTTTGGGAAATATTTTTATATACTATGCAAACTTAAAATTTGAGAGAAAAGAAAAGAAAAAATCCTGATAGAGATGGCAATGGACATGCATATTCACACAACTCACACATATTCTCATAAAAGCTTGGATAAAATACTGACAAAGCATTAGTTTATTACTATAATAACTCTCCACTATAGCATATGTTCAACATAAAATGCATGGGTGACTCAACTTTACTAAATAAGGAATATAATTCATTTATTGAGTTACTAATATTACTTAAGGAGCTCTGGTAGCATACTGGTTACAAATCGGGCTGTGAGCCGCAAGGTCAGCAGTTTGAAACTACCAGCTGCTCCGTGGGAGAAAGATGAGGCTGTCTGCTCCTGTAAAGATTTATAGCCTCCGAAACCCTGTTCAGGGTCGCTATGGGTCGGAACCGACTCTACGGCACTTAACAACAACAACAATATTACTTAGATACATGGTCAAATTCAGTTGGTAAAAATTCAGAAGCCATTATTGAGTTTATTTGAGTGCATGTAAGGAAACCATGGACCAAATGATACCCAAGCATGAGAAAGAAAATCTACCTAGCCAATAGCAAAAATGAATTTAATAAAATACAAGATGAGGAGCTCTGGTAGCGTAGTGGTTACGAATCGGGCTGCGAACCTTAAGGTCAGCGGTTCGAAACTACCAGCTGCTCCGCAGGAGAAAGATGAGGCTTTCTACTCCCGTAAGGATTTACACCCTCGGAAACCCTGTACAGGGTCGCTATGGGTCGGAACCGACTCGAAGGCACTTAACAACAACAACAACAAGATGAGGATTATTTATTTTATTTATTTTCATGGAAATTTCAACAAATACTATGAGATGAAGAAAATATATGAATGTGTAATAATAGAAAAGAGTAAACACATTTCATTATATGCCTATAATATAAATCTCTATCTGAAGAAAACAAGGTCAAATCTAAAATTATTAGGTGAGTAACTAATGCAGTTGCTTAAAATAATAACAAAAACATTAAATCAACAGTAATTAGTTTGAACCTAAAATAAAAATGAGGTATTACACATAATAATAGCAAAGCAAAAAATAGAAAAATACTTCAGGACAAAATATATGTATTTCAGTAACCACATGAATAAATTGTCTGGGAAAAGAAATTTCTGATAAATTTTAAGGGTATTTTTATAAATTATAAATGCATAAATTATATATTTATAACTCATAAATACATAAATTATATAAATGTAAAGGTGGTTTCATAAATGTTAAATATACAAATTTAATATTGTGCAAATGTCAGTATTATTCAAATTAGAAGATGAATTTAATACATTTTAATCAGAATTTCATTTGCATTTGAAAGACAATTGATCAGAAACAAAATAGATGCAACAATCAAGGTATTTTGAAAAGTAAACACTGAAGAATTGCTATGCTGGTATACAAGTTCTGAAAAAAAACATCCAGAAGGAGACTTGACACACAAGATATTAAAATACATTATAAATTTGCAGTCATAAAAAATAGTGTGATGCTTGTGTGGTAACATCTAAAGACATAGATATAATATTTTTTTGATCTTGAGAAGGACCTAAACATGGGACTTATGGGAAACAGTATTATTTAATAAACGGTACTATAGCATAGTGAATTACAAACTGTGTTGCTAACCACATGGTCAACAGTGCTTCTGTAAAGATTTCCAGTCTCAGAAACCCTCTACAGGGTTACTATGAGTTGGAACCGACACTATGGCACACCAACACCACCAAAAAGAGTATGTTTTATTCTTTGGATAAGAAAACAAAGTTATTTAAAAAATGAGTTGTTTGTAAGCCTAAATCCTTTAGCTTTATTTAACTCCATTAGAAGCAAATCAATAAAGTATATAAACAATTCAGGAGTTGCCTAATATACATTTAATACTACTAAGTCTTAGACACCACATAGACAGTTGTTGTTGTTGAGTGCCATCAAGTTGATTCTGACCCATAGCGACCTTGTTTAGGGTTTCCAAGGAGCAGCTGGTGAGCTTCAACTCCTGACCTTGTAGTTCAAATGGCTTTACAGTCTGACACATTAACTCACAGAGCCACATCAGTAATTTTATTTAATTTTGGTCAACCGCATTGACTATATGTTATAAACATGCTGAAACAAGAAATACCGAGGACTACATACAATTTATGTTGTTTCCCATTCAAGACACCATAAGGGAATGTAAGTAATTAATGATGAAATAAATCTAGCTGCAATTATAAAAATATAAAATGGTAAATCATTTATAAAATTATACTTATATCTCATAATTAAGAGAATATTTGCAACATTCTCAGAAACGATTGTTACTCCATCTAATATTCTAACATAATCCAACCATTAAAAATTTCTAAATCAATTAATTCTGTCAGAGAGTCTATATGACTCCCCCATTGTCATAAAGTCATGTAAAGTCATGGCTATATCTTGGGTTGCAACTGACTTACTAGCTTGGCAGCTTTGCAGCTTTGCAACAAGTTACTTAACTTTTCAGAACCTCACTGCTTTAAATTGGGATAACAGTATAGATTTTGTATGTTTGTTCTGAATCAGAAAGGAGATGATATCTGTAAAAGCATTTTTAAGATTGCTAGTTATATAAATAATCTTTTTATATGTTGACTCTTAATTTTTAAATTTTTAATAGGGAAAAATTACTAAGACAACAGAATCTTTTTTGTAGAATGCTATTATGGGATTGTCAGTTGAAATTTTATGAGATAGTCTTTAGAGTATACTGTTGCATGAAGCTATCTAATTTTTCAAAAATTCACAGAATTATAACCACCTTTAGTGGGTATGTTCATGCATTTATTACAGGTTTATTTGATTTTTTGTTTTGTCTTGTTTTCTATGCCTGCTTAATACATTGACTCGATGAGCAAAGAGCATTCCTCTTTAAGCAAGTTATTTAATTGCTGTAATTCTGAGTGCTAAACAAATAAACATTTTGATTTTATGTAATTTTAGGATTCCTGACTAATAGGTCTAGGGATATGTAGCATGTTATAGCTAATGATTTTCTACTTTGTATTCAACTTCTATAGTCATGTCATAATCATATCCTAGTCTATACCATGTCTTCTAAAAGATAACTAATGTCATTAGTCTAAGTGTGGTACTGGAATGCTGGAATAGGTTGGTGGTTCCAACCCACCAGCTGCTCCTCAGAAACCATGTACAGGTTCTCTATGAGAAACACACTTAAGTCCTTGTGTGATTACTGTGGGTTACTGCACCAGACTGAAAAGTCATTTAAACTGCACGGTTGGTGGTTCAAACTCACCAGCTGCTCCTCAGAAACCCCATATAGGGTCGTGATGGATTGAAACTGACTCAATGGCACTTAACATCAACAACGAGAACCTACTAGATGGCATGTAGCAACAACAACAACAAACATATGCAGTAAAAACACAAGTGCAAGTTTACTTTTCACTAAAATTTCAACCTTATTTTTTAAAGAATTTCCAGAAGATCATTTAAAGTAGGTGATGGGATAAAACTGCATAATATTTATGCTCCAGTAACTTTAATAAATATTTTAAACTTCATATATTTTCATACCTTAGGAGATCCACAATCGCAGTCTTCTCCAACTTCCAGAAGTTTATTCCCACACATTGGTGTTGTTATTATATTTTTAGAAGTCGGTGCTTGCAGGATGCACTTAGGTTTTTGAGATAAAAGGTAACTTTGAAAATGTGAGCGGCAAATTGTGCTGAAATCCTTTGGGAATTTCGAACTGTGCCCAGAAGAAAAATCAGAATACAACATGATATAGAGTGCTGTGGATTTTGTGTCAGAAATTGACATGAGAATCTGACTGTTGAACTTAACTACTTAGTTCAGTATAAATGCCAACTTTGATATCTGTTTAGGCTATCACATTATTGTATGTTGAAGGCAAATGAGCACATACACTGTTAGTCAAAATATATATATATTCATCCCATTGGAGAGCTGTAAGAATAAAATATCTCCAGTGACTGAAGACTGGACAAAATGTGAACTAATGTCAAAAACATCACACACATGAAAAAGGAAAAATATAATTAAAGGGAAGGAACAAAAGAAAAGACAAAAATGTGTATCAGAAGAGTCTGTGAAACTTGCTCTTGAGCATAAATAAGCTAACACCAATGACGAAATGAATGAAGTAAAAGAGATGAGCAGAAAACATCAAAGGGCTGTTTGAGAAGACAAAGCAAAGTATTCCAGTGAACTGTGCAAAGACCCTTGGCAGAAAGCCAAAATGGAAGAACATACTTAGCATTTTTCAAACTGAAATGACTGCAAAAATATGTCAATTCAGGAGGTAGCATATGCTCAAGAATTGATGATAGAAGAAGTCCAATAAGATTATAGAGCTCACTGAATACCAATTGAAATGCTTAAACAAACTGATGCTTGGCTTGTCTATGTCAAGAAATTTGGAAGACATCTACCTGGTAAACCAATTGGAAGAGATCAATATCTCCACTCCAAAGAAAAGGGAAACAACAGAATGCAGAAATTATCACATATTATCACATGCGAGAACTTCGAGCAGCAGGGAGAACTTCGAGCAGCAGCGAGACATGTAGTGTGGAACTCCAACAACAACACGGAATACTGGGCCACAAGGCTGTTTAACTGTTTTTGTTTTTGTTTTTAACCACTACACTAACAGGCCTTCCTTGAAGATGGCAGATCGGGTAGATGTGTAGTGAGGAGCTCGGTCAACAACAACACAGAATACCGGGTCAAGAGGATTCATGAGTTGGTGTTGGAACTCTGTAACAAATATAAAGGTATGTTTGGAGATTCGGAGGGTTTATGGCTAGGGAATTTGCAGGAGAATCCAGAAATTCATTATTTTCTGGATCAAGACACTCAGATGTTCCAGGAGCCGCCATCTTGGGAAAGCTTATCTTGATTGTACCAGGATTGATAGGATTAGGAGAGAACATCTTGATTGCATCTTGATTATATCTTATATATATCTTGATCATATCAGGATTGATAGGATTATACCAG